GACCATGCACAGAATGTATGTGCAACCTTAATGCTCAGCAAACCAGCCAAAAACAATGTAGACCCTGTTTTCAAATGCAGAAAGAAGCCGAGGGGACACATGCATGCACGCACGCCCATGGACATGCATGCACACCCCCCCCCAAAATCTTAATACAGCCAAATTAATGCTGCTTTTTAAAATAGCAAATGTTGAGTTAATATGGGTAGCTTATGTGCAGAGTTTATTTATTATTTTCTTCTACAGCCAGGTAGTACAAAATTCTGTCAGTATTTCTGCTACTATAGTACTTTATACCACTTACACACATTGCTAACAATGCTATGAATGTCTTTTGCTGTATTAAGAATTTGGGGGGGGGTGTGCATGCATGTCCATGGGCGTGCGTGCATGCATGTGTACTCTGGGCATATTTCTGCATTTGAAAACAGGGTCTACATTGTTTTTGGCTGGTTTGCTGAGCATTAAGGTTGCACATACATTCTGTGCATGGTCTTTTAACTTACTGAAATATTGTTATATCTATTCATGGAGTTAAGAAGCACCAAAGCAACGTTGGTTTTTTTAAAAAAATTGTTTTGTTTTGATAGCTAGCAGTTACCCCTTAAGCAAAAAACATCATAAAGACTAGGAAATTCTTTTGCTTGGGCTTGTGTCTGAATAGGCTATATAAAAAAAGGCATGTCAGATTTGTTGCTTGATCTTGCTAGCTGGGTTTTTGGTGCTTACAGAAAATTTTTTAAACAGATTATTCTTTTAAAAAACCCTCAAAAGTTTTATCATATTTAGGAAAATGCTAATAGAAAGGAATACTATATTAAATAAATTAACTGCTCTCTTTGTCTGGTAGTCAAAGAGGAGGAAGTTCTGAAGATTAATTCTAATATAAAGTACATTTTCAGTGGGGAAAGAATGGAGCATTTTTATTTTTGAAGATGTTTTAAAAATCATTCCTTCACCATATTATCTACAATTTGGGTATTAGGTAGTAGGATGTTCAATTTAAAACCAGTTTCTAATTTTTAAATATATTAAAATTAACCCCAAAGCTTATATTTTGGCTGCTCTGTCTGATAAACCTAATGATTTGGGCAGAATAAGAAAGAAAACCTCTGGGCTACCAAACAATTATATCTCCAGACTGTTTGGGAAAAAATGTGATTTTTGGCTTAACTCTTATTATATTGGATATTGGGATTTATATAGCTGATGAAGAATTTAACATCTGCAATTCATGTTAATAAATTTGATGTACATAATTGTGGCTTATAAATGAACATTTCTTCTAATTTATCTATATGAATGTCTAGTTCAGTAGAATTCTGGGAACAAAAGTGTACTAAACAACACGATTGTTGTCAATGAATTTAGACTGCTGCTGTTGCTTTTTAACTAGCATCGTTTTTCAAGTGATTATAATATTTAAAATAATAAAAAGAGGGTGTGGTTAAGTAACAGAAAAAATATTTCTAAATAGTCATAATTTCTGTTTGTGCTCAGGAAGCATATCAAGTTATTTTTCCTTATATCTTTGGCTTTTTGAACAAAACAGCTAAGACTAACTTTTTTGAAGTAATGCTATTTGATGCAAAGGGAATTAATTTGTTTTGCACCTGTATTCTAGCCTCTGGGGCACTCACACACATAACATAAATTTGTTTATTCAAAAAGTTATCTTTATTGACGTTTTTAGTCTAATTATCAATTGGCATGTTATAATTGACCATCTTATTTCCTCAAATTATCCTCCATTCTTTTAATGGACTTAAACCTGACTGCTAACTCATGTGTAACAGCTTCAACTTTTCCTTCATCTACTGTAAAGGATGTTTCCAGGGCATGGTTGGTAAATATTGCAGCTTATCTAAATCTTGTTTTCATCTTAAAAAACCCTCCATGGAGCTTGTATTTCTGACAAATATGGTTCTTCCTGTTTCATTGGCATAGCTACTAAAACGGGATAAAAGAGTGGATTTTTTATTGATCTTGATTCTTGTAAGGAATCACAAAATTTTCATTAATTTCTAATTTTTATTAACTGTCTGAAGTTTAATCACATGACCATGGGGATTCTGCAATAGCTGTAAGTGTGAAAAATGTTCATAAGTCACTTTTTTCAGTGCCGTTGTAATTTCAAACTGTCAGGTTGAAAGTTGAGGACTACCTGTATTAGCTCATTATTTCTTAGCTTCTATAGCTACAAATGGGTTTAAATTTGTGTTTCTCTAGTTGTTAACTTGGAGACCCCTTAGTTGAGTGTTTCTCTGCCTGGGGAATTCTGAGAATTGATAACCACTCATCTTAAAGTTGCAAAGACTGAGAAATACTTACTGAACTGAAGTATATGACCTAATTTTTTAACTTTCTTACTTCTTCTTTCTACCTTCTATGGTATGCTTGATGGAAGTTTCTGGAGAACTTCAAAGTTTATACTTTCCTTTGTGCAATTTGATTGATATTTCAATAACCACCATAGTGCTATTTTATTCTATGTGAATTGGCTCTAATTTGAATCATATTAGAGATTCAAGATTTGGTAGGTTGAAATCGTTTTGCTACCTGTGATTTTAGTCTGGTATAACTACTCAACAAGCAAAGGATCCCCTGTATTAGCATTTATTTTCTTATAATTTTATTTCACCTGGCTCCAAAAATTCCAAAAACCTTGCTAGCACTATCTATTTTAACTAATAGGAGCACCAGAATCAGGCTGGCCAAGAGAGATACAATGCCACAGAAATAGACAAGTCATCAATAAAAAAGGCTGGCATAGAATAAGTGACATATTTAATCTTGTCTTCCATCATATTCTTAGAAGCAATACATGTTCTAGCTGGCATCATTCATTTACGCTTGACATACATTCACTCATTGCAATATGGAGGGACTTCTATGTTCCCCAATCATACAAAATGTAAAAATAAGGTCAGAGGGTTTGGTCAGCCTTGAATCTGTATTTCAAGGGCTGAGACATTCCTTATAGGCCCACTCAAGTGGCTATTAAAAGACTTTTTAAAAAAACTATTTCTGCAAAACACAAGGAGTCAATCTTGCTTGTAAGGACTGCAACCTGTTCTAGAGGATAGAAACCATCACACAAATACCTCCCTCCATGCCAAGGACACCGATATGCAAAGCAAGTGCTTTGTTTTCTTCCCTCTTTTTGCTTTGATGTCCCCCTCCCAATTTTTAGTTTTGTATTGTGTTCACACAAAATCAGTAAGATGATTTGGATGGGGAATTTACACAAAAATAAGGAGAAACATTCAAATCAACAAATATAATTTATTTATTTTTCTTTTGATTTTAAGCAAAAGTCAAGTAAAACTATTTTTAAGTAGTTCCCGAAACATTCATAGTGTACATACAAATTTTCTTTTTTTCAAATAATATGAGAAAGGAAGTGAAAGTGAACTTTATAAATTATAGGCTTTCATCTATTTTTTGATTGCTGCTTGTTATTTTCCCAACATCTGGGTGTTTTCTATGCATTTTGGGTATTGATCAGCAATTTGTTGAATTATTTGATGGACCTTGTATTTATTTTAATGTTCCATTTCTTATCCTATTACTTGTGAGATTCCTGAGCTTTTTCACTCCTTGTTGTATTAGTCTCCTTATCACCCTCCCCTCAGTCATCCCTTAAATATTTGCTAAGAGCAAGAAAAAAGAAACTGGGCAGGTGCAGCCTCCATGGAGACATGGTGAGGAAATAATGTGGCTTCCACTCGTCTAAGGCCTTTGTACTGGAGGAGATATATCTGGGCACCCCACCCTGTGTCTATCAATTTGGCTGCCACCCAGTCACTCTGGCCCTGCAGTTTAAAAGGATCGAATGGCCCTACAATTATAGCTGGTGTGATCATCACTCCATCAATTTCTTTGTGTTTTGGTGCTGTTAGCTCAAAGGAAAGGGAACAATAAACCCTGTCAGCCAACTTCTCCCTGCTCTTTCTTCCTATCTGCCTCTCCAGAGTACCATGAGGAAGTTTCTATTTACTGGCAAGCAGAGAAGAGGAAGACATATTATTCTCTTCCCCTGCGATCCACACACTACGAACAACTTACAGCCACTAATCTGCAACAGGTGCTGCTTGGATTTAGTCCCCCAGGCTCAGAAGCAGGAAATCAAGAGGCTGATGTCTCACGCAGGACCAACAGCAGCGGCACCAAGCCGGGGAGCAATGCTGCTGCAGTTATTGGCCAGGACTCTGCGCGCCGCTGTTGACCCAACGATGTTCGATGGGAATACTGTGAGAACTGGGACGTCGCCCGAGTTTGAGAGAGCGAGAGCGCGGCAGACGGAGTGGAGAAGAAAAGAATCCCACTGTTATGTACCGAGAAAACAATGCCCGGCTCTAAAACTCCTCAAAACCAATGTCCGGAAGATGCAGAGTTGCAGCAATATGAAACTGCGGGCTGAAAACTTTTAAAGGAAAACTCAAACAAACTTTACAAAGCAACGAGCTGTCCCTCCCTCGTGAGATGAACGGCGCTGCTGGAAAGAACCGATGGGTAACACAATGGCTGCAATTACTGGGGCTTTGGCTGGGTGTCTCGGATTGGGCTTTTGCATTCATCCGCTATACAATTCCCGAGGAAATGCCGAAGAACTCGTTGGTAGGAAATGTAGTGCTTGACCTGGGCTTAGATCTCCGGCAGTTACGAGCTCGAAATCTTCGGGTTGTGTCGGGAGGCAGCAGAAAATACTTCGAAGCAGATCTCAATACTGGAAAGTTGCTAGTCAATGAGAGAATCGACAGGGAGGAACTTTGTGCGACTCTCTCTCCTTGTGTCCTAAGCCTGCAAATCATCGCGGAAAACCCCCTGGAGCTCTACGGCGTAGCTGTGGAAGTCCAAGACATCAACGACAATGACCCAGTTTTCCCGAGCAAACAAATGAGACTGGAAATCAGCGAGTCAGTGTCACCTGGAGCACGTTTTCCTTTGGAGAGCGCACAGGACCCCGATGTGGGAATTAACTCTTTGCAGACTTACCAGCTCAGCTCCAATCAGCACTACGCATTGAACGTACAGACTGGAGGAGATAATACAAAATATGCAGAGTTAGTGCTGGAGAAGACACTGGATAGGGAGCAGCAAAAAGAAATCCTACTGATTCTCACAGCTCTGGATGGAGGAAATCCACCTAGATCTGCTACCTTGCAGGTACTCATTGATGTCCTAGATGCAAATGACAACGTCCCTATCTTCAATCAATCTATTTACAAAGCCAGCGTGAGAGAGGACACACCCTTAAACACTTTGGTGGCCAGAACAAGAGCTTTTGATCTGGATGAGGGCCCTAATGGAGAAATAATTTACTCCTTCAGCAGTCACACTCCTGCTAGAGTTCGGCAGCTTTTTGTTTTAGACTCTGATACTGGAGAACTGAGGCTCAATGGATTGCTGGATTTTGAAGAAATCAAATTTTATGAGATTTATGTCCAGGCAAAAGATAAAGGCGCCAATCCTGCAGAGGCTCATTGCAAAATATTGGTAGAAATTATTGATGTCAATGACAACTTCCCAGAAATCACAGTGACATCAGTGTACAGCCCTGTACCAGAAGACACAGCTCCAGGAACAGTAATTGCTTTGCTAAGTGTCACAGATCAGGACTCTGGTGATAATGGCCTTGTAAACTGTTTTATACCTTTTGGCACTCCTTTTGCCCTTAGCTCTTCACTTAAAAACTACTACACATTGCAAACGAAAGAACCACTGGACAGGGAAATTACTTCTGAGTATAATATCACAATTACTGCTAAGGATGCTGGCTCACCCTCTCTCATGGAAAAAAAACAAATATTTGTTAAAGTGTCTGATATAAATGACAATCCCCCTACATTCCCACTATCTTTCTATGATGTGTATGTGGAGGAAAATAACCTTCCAGGGGCTATTATTTTTAATATTAGTGCCTCTGATCCAGATCTGGACCGGAATTCCCGTCTTTCTTACTCTATCTTGGAAAATGAGAAACATGACAGAGATCAGGTTAGCAGATTTTTTTCTATTAACCGGGAGAATGGTACCATTTATGTCCTAGCACTTTTGGATTATGAAAACATAATGGAGTTCAGGCTAGTGGTACAAGTTCGTGATGGAGGATTTCCACCCCTTGCCACCAACGTCACAATCAATATTTTTGTCACAGATCAAAATGACAATGTACCCAGGGTCTTATATCCAACTTCAGGTAACAATTCTTTGTTTTCAAAAGTAGTGTCCACAGTCAGTCCTGGATATCTGGTTACCAAAATTGTGGCCTGGGATGCAGATGCTGGTTATAATGCTTGGCTTTCCTATGTACTTCATGAAGCCACTGACCCAGGACTCTTTGCTGTGGGCTTGTATTCTGGGGAGATAACAACAACCCGCTCACTACAAGAAGAAGATTCTCACAAGCAAACTTTAATAATTTTAATAAAAGATCATGGAGAACCAGCATTGTCCTCCACTGCAACCCTTATTGTAACAATAGCAGAGACATCCAGGGAGACACTGACAGACTTTACAGTAGTGTCTACCACACCACAATCAAAGAAACACTTGACTTTCTACTTGATCCTTGCTATTATTCTAATATCTGTGGCCTTCTTTGTCACAGTGGTTGGAGTAGGCTCTTATAAATTTTACAAATGGAGGCAATCCAAGGATATCTTTAAGGCCTCCAGGAGCAACCTTTATAGAACCCCAGAACTTTTCAACCATGTTGATACTGTGCGGAGTGGGGTTTTTCCTCCAGATTTCTACCACCAGTTTCTTACCACTGACTCTTGCCAGAGCGATCTTCTATACAAAATGCCTTTTGCTCCCAGTACTATAGGGAGTCATCAAAGTACTGTTACAAGATGTGATCCTGCGATGTACAACCAGATAAGTACTAGTAGCAGACTGCTAGTGCCCTCTGAGGTAATGTATGTTTGTCCTTTTCCATCTATGTCTGGAAAACTCAGTTCTGAGCCTAAATTAACTTAATAATAGTCTTTTTTTTCTTTCCTGAAATATGTCAGTATCTGTGAAGCTTGTTCTTTTTCTTCCATTCTCTTTCTATGGTGCACATTGTAAGATAATAATTTAGAATTTGAATTCCTGTTGAGTTCCTATATCCTGCTCTTGTTATTTTTTTTATATTGTATGATGGTGAGGAATTCATGCAGTTGCCTTGTGAGTTGCCTTGTGCTAACTCATATCCATGTTAATCTTTTGGGACTCTGTATACACAAGCCTTGATTAATTAACCTCACATTTAATTTAAAAAGGATAAGCAGTTCTAGAAACCATGAAATAGCAGTTCATGTAAAGATATTATGCGTATACTGTACAAGCAAATGGACTAAATACTAAATGGAAGAATTATGAAGGCTGTATTGCTTGGGTGGTTTTCCCCAAAAATTAAAGGGAATCTTTCTGCAACATTTTACATTTTCCCAAGACAGGATGTTATTGAATGGCATATGCTACTTTCTTTTATCTTGGGAGATTATGGAGGAATCACATAGCACATGAAAAATATGAGTAGTCATAGAAGTAGAACTGTAAAAAAAACTATCAACCACCAAGAAATATAATAGAACAAACAGCAGAATGTTTATTTTTATCCTAGCTTTATTATTTTTAGAAATAACTCAAGGTAGGGAACATACATAATTCTCCTTCCTCCTCCTATTTTGCTCATAACAACCTTATAAGAAAGGGGACCAGGAGAGAATGACTGGCCCAAAATCAACCAGCCATTAGGTTTCACTGCAATTACGTTTAAAGTAGCTTGACAAATTGTCTTTTGGCCTCCTTTAAAATATCACTATGGTGCCCAACTCTTGAGCTTTCTAGGACTCCAAACTGTCAGGAAGATACACAATCTCAGGGAAGGAAGGTAAGAGAGAATCTTGAATAAAACAATAGCTCCAGGTCCCTAGCTACTTTCATTTTTCACAGGATGCTTGATGGAATCATTAGAGGGTTGAGGTCCAGAATAGGTGAAGTTTAAATAGCCGGTAATAACCCTGTATTTAAAGGGACCTATTTTTCTTTGTTGTTCCAAGATGAGGGTGAAAAACATGGTTGTATAGATTAAAGAGAAGAAAGGGCCACCAGGAATGCCTCCCTGTGTCTGGCTAACGCAAAGAGGTGGGCCTGGAGGCCCTTTTAGCACAAAGGTGATTTTCTCACTCAGATAGTCAACCTGTGTCTAGTCCAGGTTGCAGATGAACTCACACAGTGGGATACTGGGCTTATTTTACTCCTAAATGAAGTTCTTGCAGGTACAAATGTAGGACACACAAAGAAAGCTATTTTAGGTATAACCAAGCAAAATTTATGCATGATTAAAGCTGTGTTTTTGGTAGAACTTTCTTTTGTGCTTTTCCTGAAACAAAAGAATGAGTTATTTTGTGGTAAAAGGACATATGTGAGCAGAGATCAAATTCTGATGATTATCTGGACAGTTCATGTAGTTTTGTCACAGCTTTCTTCCTGAATCCTTGACAGGGTCTCAAAAAACAAGCTCTCATTTACTGCTTTATAGCTCCTGGCCTACAGGCATAAGAAATAAAAACTTACATAGAATGTCTGTCAGGTAGATAGACAGACATAGATGTAGAATCACAGCTCAAACTGTGGCCTCAAATATTCTGTCTAACAGAACTGGAGCAGACAGATACACATCACACGAAGGGTTAGGATTGGCTTAATCATTATGCTATACAGGTAGGCCCTTACTTACAAGATCATTTAACCATTTGGAGTTATGATGGCCTTAGAAAGGATCCTTTACAGCTAAATCTGATTTTTTACAGCTTGTAATCTTTCATTAGGAATGTAAATCAAGATGAAGCAGGAAGTCTGCTTCGTCATTATGAACAAACAGGGCATCATAACCTATTCATCACCCCATAATTAGAACAAATTATGAATTAGTATGGTTATAGATATACCCATTGTCAAGACAAGCTGAACTTCATTGCATAAACCAGCTGAAAAACAGTAATAGTGAGTCTTTCAGAGGCAGGATCTCTGTATGTCCTGTTTTTGTTTTTATTTGAAGGCTAGAAATACTTGCACTTCCAGACAATGATAATCTGAGCTATTTAGAGAAATGGAGCTGCAGCCCTTTTAAACCCATATTGTTCATTCTGTCTCCCTGCATGAAAAAAACAAAATTCTGCAAGTGATAAAAATTATTTCTGTTCTTAAAATAGAATGGAACTGTTTTGTTCAGTTATAACCACTGAAAAGAAAAGAAAAAACCAAAGTATTTTGCTAACTAATTCTCCCCTCACCAAAATGATTCATTTGTCATGTGATTAACAAAAAAAAATCTTCTCTGCTAGGCTGTATTTGGGGAAAGGGAGACAAAATTGATTATTAAAAAATGGAAATGAATCTTCTTGAACTCTACATATCCATCACCATGGTGATTCAGTAGAAAATCTACATGTAGAAGTTATGCGTTCCTACCATTTATCTTTTAAGTTGTAACTTCAGTGGCATGTTTGTTTATTGTGGGAGGATACTTTTGCCACTGCAATCAAAAAGATTATCATTGGCTTAAATAGAAAAGGTACAAGATACCATACTTTGTTCTCCCCCTGCCCAATTACTAACATTTAACTAAGGAAGATCAATTCTTAACTGCCTGCACTATTACCAGGAGACAGAAAGATGATTGCAGCTTTTATATATGCTCTGATTTCATCTGGAAATGAAATAGTTAATTGAAATGGAGCGGGAGGGGCCATTGTGAATTCCCGTTAATACTCTACAGCTCATCTCTTCCCCCTTGTCTTCAGAAGCATGGCTGAATGAAAGCTGGTAAATGTTTAGGTTTAAAGATAAGAAAAACAAAAAAATATTACATAGAGTAGAAAAACTCCTTTTGTGAAAACTGCTAATAAGTGTGAGATTCTGCAGGCAAACTAATAATTATCTAGAAGAACTATATTCAGAATCCACCCACAGTTAAAGTGGTATAGTCCTGACACAAATGTTCACAAAATGAGAATTAGAGTACAGAATAGATTAAGGTTTTCCAAACCATGTGACATCATTGCAATAAATCCACCTTTCCTAAAGTTTCATTTTGTAAAGTTTTCATTATTTTTTGTGTCTTCTTTTTAGGGGAGGTGTGCCTATTAAGATTATAATAAAGGAAGGTGTGATGGCAACAAAACCTCTCTGATAATAAAAAAAAACATTTTTTGGATTTAAAAATTACTACATCTGAAAATTGGTGGAGATAATATAGCACTAGGATAATGTTGTGTCCCCTTGAAATACACCTAGTCCTCAGCTTACGACCGCAATTGAGTCCCAAACTTCAGTTACTAAGAAAGACAGTTGTTAAGTGAGTTTTGCGACATTTCTTACCAAAATTTCTTGCCATTCAAATTTGGATCACATGATCATGGGGATGCTGCAGCAATTGAGAAAAATGTTAATGTCACTTTTTCAGTGGTTGGGTAACTTCAAATGGTCGCTAAATGAATGGTTGTAAGTTGAGAACTACCCATATTGGACATAATGTCATCTGTCCCTCTTAGCCAGAAAATACTGCCTTGCACAGAGTTGCAGATAACCACCAAGTATGCTCTACCACATCTATGTTGAAAGAATCTTAAGCATGTTGTACCATTAAGCTGCAAATGGTCATTGTGATCCAAAATTGGGAGGTGACCCAAACTTGAAGTGAATTTCAGCGTTTTCTTATTAGGCAGTTGGATTACTGAACTGGAATACTGTAATCTTAATTGCACACAGATTCGGGATGAAATAGGTTGGTAGAAACAAAGAGCTTCCAGTCAGTTTAGCTTCCTCCCTCCCAGCAGCCAAGTTGCAGGCCAGCAAATCATTGGTGAAGAGGAAAAACACATACATTGTTTTAAATCGCAGCGACAGAAGTAGGCAGCAATTTTTGGTTTATGTTGCAGGGTAATTTGAGCGGCTGGGAAAGGGGTGGTACAGGAAAGTAGAGGGCTTTGGGTTTTCATCTTTTTAAAACCTTCTCTTCCTCCTCCTCCTCCCTCTCTGCCTTCTCCTTCATTTTGCTTTGCTTTCCTCCATTTTAATTTTGCAAGTTTTGTTTGTGCAATGTTAGTAAGATTATATGGATCGGAAATTGACCTCAAAATAGGAGAGAAAAATTTTGTATGAACAAATTAGGCAAATTAAAAAATGGGTAATGCTGGAATGTACCCATTTCCTTTTTGTTAGTTTATTCCAATTCTCAAAAGTTATATGTTTGTTGTTTTCCTAACAATGTTTTACTTATTTTATTTTGTTGAATTATTTTATTGATCTTATGGTTATTTTAGAGGTCCATTTCTTATCTCATTATTCTGAGAGATTCCTGAGGTGTTTTTTTTCCCCCCCTCAAGTTAGTTTTAGGGAAACTAAATAGGCATCAACGAGTGGTTTTTAAGCAGGAGTTTTCTATTTGGGAGGCCTGCCCATTCTGTTGTGTATTGAGTCATATGAGTGTTTGCATATGCAGAGAAGGGCTGGGAGGGAGCTTGAAGATCATATACTCCAATCCTTGTACAGTGCATGTTCATTTTACTAGAGCACCCTGATAGATGCCCTTTCATCCTGTGTTTAAACACTTCAAGGATAGGAGAGTTCACCAGTCCTTGAAACAGTCTGTTGAATGACTCTCATTGCTAGAGTATTTTTTTAATGTCTACTGTAACTAATAGACGTCTAATTAAGGAGCAGATTGATCTAATGGTTAAGGCATCAGGCTAGAAAGTGAGAGACCATGAATTCAAGTTCCACCTTAGCCATGAAAGTCACTGGGTAACTTTGTGCCAATCACTCTCTCGTACAGCTCAACTTACCACATAGGATAGTTGTTTGGGGAAAATATGAAGAAGAATGTGTATTAGACATGTTTACCACAAAAGGCAAAATACAAATAACAAAAATAAAATTATTTCTTTGATATTTAAGCCTGTTGCTTCTCATCTTGTCTGGAACAGTTT